TCTTAGCCTTTTCTTACACTACTGAGCTAACAAGAGATGCTAATCTCTGTGCTTACTGTGTGCAAGGCACTGTGTCCAATGGTGGCGTACCACCAGCAAGATGAACTTGCAGAAGTTTTTGCTGGATTTTAGATGTGGGATAATGGGAAAGAAAGCAAGGATTACAAACAAAAAGCTTGAGAAGCAGTGATCTCATCCTACCCTGCTGCCTCCTGGCAGCAGTGAGTATAAATCATCTAGACAGGCAGGTAGCCTATCTAAAAGATCTCTAAGAAGATGGATTCTCCAGCCTCCCACCAGAGGATTTCTCCATCACTGACATAATTTGGCTTCTTGTATCTGACCTGCTTTCTGCCTGCTATAGTTTGTGTACTTTTTCTTTAATTATAGGGGAATGGAGACCATCTAGCTACTACCACTCTTGGTATAAAAGACCTGTGTGGCATATCACTGTCAGTTCCAATAGTATATTCTGCTTTCATTCTGGGTTCTTATATTAAAACCCTCAAAACAATAGATCACAGTCTACTTATTTTACACTAGGTGGCCCTCTTTGGTAGCTTATGTCCCAGAGCTGTGAATTCCTCTTCAGAATCAAGTTAAAGAATGTCAATGTGTATGTTTGATTTAAACCAGTAAACCTTGTTCTTAGGAAAATTTAAGCTTAAGGTGTGAGAGACTTCTCTACTGAGATAATAGGAGCATCCTGAATTCTCAAAAGCAAAATTTGAGATTTGAAGTATTTACTGGTCTTTGACATTGCACCAGGGACCAGGAGTCCTCTTCTCAGACTGGCAAAGAGCCTTACATGGACATCTTTTTATTTTTTCTGATTTCAAATTAAACTTTGTTTAGGGCTGGTTAAAAAAGTGTTAGGACAGGTGTGGTAGCACACACCTTTAATCCCAGCACTCAGGAGGCAGTTGCAGGCGGATCTCTGAGATCCAGGCCAGCCTCGTCTAAATAGTGAGTTCCAGGCCAGCTGGGACTATAGAGAGATCCTGTCTTTAAACAAAAGACCAAAAACCACAGGCACACACACACACACACACACACACACACACACACACACAAGTTGTTACGGATAGGTTAATACCTGGTAGCAGGGAGAACTTTGAAGACAAGTGAGGAAATGGGTTTCCAGAACATTTCATGTTGACATAAAATCTAGAGGAATTCTAGAACCCTTTCCCTATTACTGAAGAGCAAGCAAATCTTACCTGATAGTGATGGTGTTGTTTTAGATAACAGCAGCACCTATATTTCATATGTGCATGTTAAAGTCATTCACTATAATTGGATTGCATATTCACTTTTAATTCTAGTTAATAACCTTTGGGGCAGATACTAATTCCATTTCACAGATTGGAAAATCAAGACCTAAAGAGATGCAGTAACCTAGAGTCAGTTAGGAAGTGCTGAAACTGCAGTTATACCCAGGCATGTTTTTACTGTGATACCTAGCACACAGAGCATTGTTGACAGATGGTCAGATACTATGCTGTGTCCAATTGCTTCATTATCTAGACTTCTCAAAAAGAAAAAGCAGATGTGCCCTCTTTTAAAATAGTAATTACAACATCAACATCCCTGGTTGTTCCATCCTTAGGTCTTACCATACTCAAATCATCTACTACATTTTTTCTGAAGTAAACAAATTGCCTTATGTACCCCCCTTCCCCCGCCTCCATTCCTTATTCCCTACAGGGAAATACAGACTTCTTCAACCTGGTGGCCTCCATCAGCCCTCCCTCACTTGGCTTTAGTTTCTCTTTTAAGTCCAGTCCATAGTCACCTTGCTGTGTCATGCATGGCCCATTGCTGTTGCCACTGTGGTTCTTTTTCCTAGGAAATTTTCTCCAGCCTTTTTCTTTTTTTTCCATTGAGCAACTCTTGTTCATCAGAATCTTTCTACTTTTTTCAAAAAGCAAACATCCAAATTTCATTCCTTAACATTCTGATTCCTTGGTTTTTGGAAGAAGTGTCCCCAGTGGTGTCTGAGAAGCATCTTGTATTTCCAATATTATAATTAGGTGGAATGCCCTCCAAAGGGCTTTACCCAGGGTTAGCTTTTCTGGAAGGCTAGATCAGCAGGTGCTTCTCTGTGTGCCATTTGCCAATGTTGTCACCATGGTGCACTGCACTTGGCTAATCTGGGTGTGGCTTTCTTAGGAATGTGTCCCATTCCCAAAACACTTTAAAAGGATGCTGTTGACCCTCTAGGGATCTCTAGCTTTCAGCACAGAATCTGGTGAAACCTCACAAGGTTTTCTTCCTATTGTTGATCCTCGCTGGACCCCACTGTTTGGCAAATAACAGATTCATTCTGGAGTTGAGTTCAGGAAAGAAGAAAGATAGAAATTGTTACTTAATGAGCCTCCATTTGGATTTTCTTATCTCATTTTAACTCATGTTCCAAATTTTAATGAGTTACAAAAGTATGTTTAATTAATAGTTTCTACCTCACTGACTTTTGGTTCAGACTCCGACTTTTTGGCAAGAATCTAACAGATCTCACTTTCTGCTAGCTACCTTGATGCTTTAAGTCCTTTTGGGGCCTGTCTTAAAACTGGAAACATTTCTGCTTCTCTCCACACTGCTTTCCTTCGCTGTCAGGCATCATTACCACACAGCACTGAATGAGGAACTGTGACACTGGGAGGTGGCAGCTGGGGCCTGGGAACCAGCCATGTGTAATCATTTGTGTGCTCATGTGCATATTTGGCCCATTGGTTCTGGGGCATGAACACTCCATGTGCACCGCCTGTGGGGTTTTCCCTCTTTACACAAAGCATAGATTCAGTGAAGACCCAACTTGCTCAGCATAACTATTCCCCAAATAGCCTTCCTACCCTAATGGCATCAGTTTTGAGAACCCACCTATTCAATTTGAAATCCAAATCAAAACAGATATGTCACTTCAGTTCATGTATTCAGTAATTAAAGATACCAGGTTGGTGGACTCTTTATTGTTTGGGTCATCAGTATGTCACATTTGACCTTTTTATTTTTTTATTTAAAATTTTTTTTTTAATTTATTATTTTTTTATTTGATGTATATGCATGTATTGCCTACATGTAGGTAAGTGCACCTGTGTTGTGCAGTGTCCCCAGAGGACAGAAGAGGCTGTAGAATCCCCTGGAACTGGAGTTGTGGACAGTTGTTAACTGCCATGTGGGTGCTGAGATTCGAACCCAGGTCTTCCACAAGAACAACCAGTGTTCTTAACCGCTGAGCCATCTCTCCAGCCCTGACCTTTTTATTTTGAGCTCCATTGTGGATATTAATTTTTTTATCATTTTAGATTAGCATATATTAATTGTACAGAATAACAGATATTCATTTTAATGATCTAGTATACTGAAGGAAAAGATGTAGAGGGGAGATAGGAAGGAAAACGGAGCAGAGACAGCAAAGAGTTACAGCCTAAATTCAATAGCAGGCATGGCTTATGAAGATCAAGTTGTGTTTCTGCTTCATGAATCATTGTCAGACAAATTAAGAACATATTGTTCTTATTTATCTATTGTCAAGGATTCAATATCAAGCACTAAGAATAAATCTTGATTTTCATAAGCTTTATTGACACTATGGAGCCACAGAGCATAAAACTTGCATCTAATAAACAAAGTGCGATATGGAACGGCCAAGGGTGTAATACCACTGTGACTCACAGCTGCTTCCTGCCCCTGGTCCCTGTCTTAAGGAAACCAATTATTTGTTAATGTTTGTTGTAAGAAAAGTTGTTGTTTTAAGTGCATTATTCCCTCAGATCTTAGAGATGGGGTAATTATGTCAGTTTTTGTCCTTATCTTGGTATCTGCCCATTTCCCTTAGTTTCCTTCTCCATGTCTCTGCTGTGTGTTAAATAAATGCTTAAACCAGGTTTGTTCTATGGACACTTGGAATGGATTGGTTGTATAATTTTTAGGCCGCGTGTAATGTATTTGCATAGTCCTTGGAGGACTTTTAGCTATCTAAAATTCCTAGTAGGTATTTATTTTTTAATTCTTGAGGTTAAAATACAGAAATTATATTTAAATTTGGGCCTGGAGAGATGGCCCAATGGGCTGAGTGCTTGCTGTTCTTTCAGAGAACCTGAGTTTGGTTTCCAGCATCCAGTTGGTTGGCTCACAACTGCCTGTAACTCTAGCTCCAGGGAATCCAGCACCCTCTTTTGGCCTCCTAGGGCACCTGCACATACATGATATATATATATACACACATGAATAAAAATAAATCTTAAATAAGTTACATTTAAATTTGGTTAGTGATAAGGGATATGAGCCTGAAAGAACTGAGACCCAAGATGGATAACATAAATCTTTAAAATAACAGTGTAAATAAGTACTTTTTCAATAATACTAAAACATCCCTTCCCTTAGTCATATAATAGCAAAATTAGGATCTGTGTCATGAGATGTGATGCTTTTTATAGACTTGAAACCACCACAAGAGAAACAGCTTTGAAACCAATACCCTTTGACTAAAAGCAGGACAGGCTTGCCTGATGGGATGTGCTTCATTGTGCAGGAAATTTGTTTGGGATAAAGAAAATGGGTAAGATTTTCAAAATTCATCTAACTGCACATAAAGGGGCGCATTTTATTAAATATAAATTTTGTTTCAATAAAATGATTTTTTTTTTTTTTTTAGCTTTAATTCTTCCCGATTTGGCAGCTTTAAGCTTGGGAATAGTTCTATTTTAGTCATATTATGGCATGCCCCCCACCCCCAATCTGCTCACTGCAGTTATATAAGAAACTGGGCTGTTTAACTGTTAGTTATGTAAAATACAGGCACTAGAGCAAGAGTGAGTTAAGGAGACAATAGAAGCATCTGGAATGTGTCTTGTCACCTGAGGAAGATAATAGAGGACTTGCCTTCACTTCTCCGGTGCCATTTCCTGATGTGTATTCAGTCTGGTTAGGTCCAGTGCAGCAAGAAAGAGACCAGGTCTGAAGTGGTTTCTAACTTTACCCCAATTCCTTTTGGCCAGTTGTTACGAAGTTCTTTAGTGAATAACAGAACTCAAGCCAAGGTGGCAGAGGAGCTGGGCATGCAAGAGTACGCCATCACCAACGACAAAACCAAGAGGCCTGTGGCCCTGAGGACCAAGACGTTGGCAGACCTTCTGGAATGTGAGTCCTACAGTGGAAAGCTTTTAACCTGCATGTCTGGTTTACATGAAACTGACTAGTGTTTATTATTCTCTTTACTGTGATGTACTGACTAAAGAAACCTCTCAGTCTTGCTCTCTCCCTCTCTCTTCCTTTTCTCTCTCTCACTCTGTTCTCTTCAACAAAGTTTTATGTAGCCCACACTAGTCTAAAACTTACTATGTAGTTGAGGATGACCTTTAACTTCTAATATTTCCTGCTTCCACCCCCTAAGTGCTAGTGTTACAGGTGTGGGTGACCACATCTGCCTAAGAAACCTCTTTTCTATTTAATCTTTATTTATACTTTTCACCAAAGCTTGTTTCCAAGAGAATCATTTGGAATTAAGACGTGTGAATAATGCATTTTATGTCCAATCCATGTTTAGGGGTGGCTGCCTACCCACCATCCTGACACTCAACCATCGTATCTCTTTTGTGTGAAGCAGGAACACAATGTGAAGATTAGTTATTGTGAGTCACAGTTGTTTTTGTTACCCAGCAGCCTTCATAAAGGGGCACAGAAGAAAAGATGGTTTATTCACTAAATACTAAAATTACTATCCATTGTTTTGAGTGAGTACAAAGCTCTGTGGACAGATGTCATCTTTCATACTTGCTGATATGGCCTGTTAGCATTATAAATAATTCATTATAGTTAATTAAACTATTATACAAACAATGTTCTTATTTCTGATATTACTCCAAAAGAAATAGATCATTCTCTGGATCTTAGAACTTTTTTTTGGATCTTAGAACAATATTTTTGACAATTGGAATTATGTGCAAATATTAAAGTCTACTATGCAAAGCCAGCTCATTTACAAAGTATAAAGGCAATCTGACTAAGGCACTTAAAAGAAAAGTAAGATTCGGCTTGAGTTAATCAGTGTTACCAGCATTTTTTTTTTTAAGTTCTGTGAAAGGTCTTTTTAATCTTTTTAATAAAAATGCACCATTTGTCTACTTAAGGTTCCTGTTAATGAATTCATCTTTTGGGTTGTCATTTATAATGCAGTTGTCATTAAGCCCAGAACTAAACTTTTCTTGATTTGGACAGATGGGTCTTCAAGTTGTCTCGTTTCTTTTTCTGCTCTTGAAATGTAACATGGAACCCCCTATATGTGGGTGATCTCAAGATTGATGTTGGGACTGGCAGGGTTCAAAGCTGTACATTGGTATCAACTGTGATGTACAGGTTGAATTTTGACTGGGTTGTGTTCCCAAACACCATTCTTTGCCTGCAATATAGCATCTGTGTATCTTTTAAACTATTTTTTCATTTAGCCCTTAACTAAGTGAAGTCTGGTTTTTGTGTACTGTGATTTTTGCACCATACATGTATGTTGCTACTTCTGACATTAATGATAAAGAATAGTTTTATTTGAAGAAAGATGAAATGATGATGTTAAAAAATAAGGACTGTCTAGAAGTTGAAAACCTTGTTTTTAAAATGTTGCTTAAAAATGCAACTCTTGGGATTGGAGAGATGGGTCAGTGGTTAAGAGCACTCATTGTTCTTGCAGAGGCCCTGAGTTTGGTTATCAGCACCCATATCCAGTGGCTCACAAGTTGCCTATACCTTCAGCTCCTTTCCTGCCTCAACAGGCACCCCCACACACATAAACATTACACACAGACACAAACAGACACACATAGTCACATACACACACACACACACACACACACACACACAGAATTAAATAGAATGATAAATTAAGAAGTTTGGCTCTTGCTTTTCCTGGTAATGAATTGTTTAAATTTTGTTTTTCAGCGTTCATTGCAGCATTGTACATTGATAAGGATCTGGAATATGTTCACACTTTCATGAATGTCTGTTTCTTTCCACGATTAAAAGTAAGCTCATAAAAAGTTCAAATTAATGGTCTTCTTGTTTCTGGCGATCCTGGAATGCACTAAATAAATGCTTTTGGGGTAATTACCACAGGAGTTCATTCTGAATCAAGATTGGAATGACCCCAAGTCCCAGCTGCAGCAGTGTTGCTTGACCCTTAGGACGGAAGGAAAAGAGCCAGACATTCCTTTATATAAGTAAGTACTTGTCTACCAGCCATTGGATCCAGTGTGCTTATCCTTCATGTGCTGAGAGGGAAAATTCTTAGGCAGTTGAGACAAGAGACTCCTGCCCATCATGTGATACTAGACCCAACTTGGAAACTCTAAGCCCTAGCAAGTAAGTGGTTGCATCTTGATTGCCTGTCTGCTTTCTCCCATCGCTTAATTTCCCTGAACTACTGGCAGGAAAGTATATTAAGATTGCGAGCTCCAGATACAACAATTCAAGGGAAGTGGTTCCTGTACACATCTCATATTTGTATTATTTCTTGTATTCACTGCTGGACTGTGCGTGTAGATTAGATGACCAGTGTGCTTGTTTGTAGCAGTGTCTGAGTGCTACTCTGGACACACACACACACACACACACACACACACACACACACACACGAGTCCCTGTTGGCCACACACACGAGTCCCTGTTGGCCTTTGTCTCTATTGCTTGAGACTCTCCACCTTGGTGGTCACTGTAAGAAATGGAACAGTTGTTTATTGTTGCTGCTGCTACTGTGTTACTCAAATACTTAGCACTTGTTCGTCCTGGAATTTGTATCAAGCTGCCAGCTACTTTTGAATATTATTCAAAAGACATTCAAAAGGAGTGTATGTGAGTAATGGGTCACTACACCAGCTTAACACCAGTTTTGATGAAAATAGATTTATATGACTCTGAAGTCGAATGATTATCCTGTGACACTCATGTGTGGATTCAGAAGGTGGTTTAAAGGGAATTACAAAGTAAAGGATCATTAAAGTACATGGGGTGCCTGCCTCTCTAGGGACTGTTGATAAATAATTTTAGGAATTCTTTAACAATCTAGTTTCACTGGCCTAAAGAGATGGCTGAGTGGTTAGGAATACTTGCTGCTCTTACAGAGGACCCAAGTTCAGTTTCTACAATCCATACTGGGCAGCTTACAACCACCTGTAACTCCTGCTACCAGGGTCAGACATCCTTTCTGACCTCCACAGGCATCTGCACATATGTTCACATACATACATACACATTTAAGTAAATAAATGAATAAACAAACAAAACTAGTTTCAAAACTGTTTACTTAGCCTTTATAATCACAGGGTTGTACAGACACACTCCTTCTGAAAGCCCCTCTCTCTCTCTTTGGACTTTTTTTTTTTTTTTTTTTTTTTGGTCTTTTTGAGACAGGGTTTCCCTGTAGACCCAGCTGGCCTGGATTCACTATGTAGACCAGGCTGACCTCGAACTCATAGTGATCCACCTGTCTCTGCCTCCCAAGTGCTGAGACTAAAAGTGTGCGCCATCACTCTCGGCTCTTTGAACTTTTCAAACATAAAAATACACTTAACTTTTTTGCTGCCAACAAAACTGAGTCCAAAAGAAGGTTTAGTCACCCCATGGCAAGCTATTCTAAATAGTGTTTAGCATTTTGTGTTTACTGGGGAAAAAACCCTAAATGTATAGAAATAGCACTTAATATATGTCTAATAAGCATAATGAATGTCTACAGTATGTGATATGAAAGGCTCAAAGAATTTCCCCATCAAAGTGATAATTAAGGTTGAGTAAGTAAAGATGATAAACTTCTTAGAACAGGCACAATTACCATAGTAAATTCTATCTTAAAGAAGCCACGGAGCACTCGCTGTTTGGAGTACATAAGAATAAAGGAAATTACTGTGCTCCCCACCAATAAATTGCCCATTTGAAGGTATATGACCAGTTTGTCTTTGTTGTCAAGATGATGGGGTGGTTTTACCCAGTTTTTCATGATTACTGTATTCATTCTATCCTTTCCCGTAAAGTTATAAGTTTTGTTACATTTGAAATCTGCATCCTGTCATTAAAACCCAGAGTAACTGGAGCTTTGTTTTTTAGTGTTGTGTTATGTACCTGCCATTACCCTGTACCCTTGAAATGATCACAGATGTTTCAGAAATTAAATATATTTTCTGGTCTCTTAGGTAAGATTATGAACAGTAGAAAGAATCCATAAAGGCTGTGAAACTATTTGGGTATGACAGGTGCATTACCCAAATATTTACTGCTTTTAGCTGTGATAAGCATTGTAAAACAATGAACAGACTGAAGCCCTTAATTCCTCTTAATTAGAAGTTTGTTAATTTTGTGATACTGAAATTCACACTTAGAAATTCTTTTTTGGCCTTTTTGAGACAAGGTCTCCCTGTAGCACCAGCTGGCCTGGAACTCACTATGTAAGCTAGACTGGCCTTGAACCTACCCACCTGTCTCTGCTTCCTGAATGCTGGGGCAAAAGGCGTGCACCACCATACCCAGCTAGAAATTCTTTGAAAGTATTGCATAGTCAATATTACATTGACTATGACCCTTCAGATAATTTTGGGAAAAATGCAAAAATGCTGGGGAGAATTTTTTAGATTTCCTATTTCAAAAGCTCTGTATTTGTTAGGTTAGAAAATCAAAAACTTTACTTCTGTTTTCTACATTTCTTGTTATTTTTACCTTTGTAGGCAGTAAGTATAAGTTTTTTTTGTTTATTTTGTTCTTTTGCCAGTTATATAGTAGCAAATAATTAACCATATGATCACATTAAACAATGCTTTTCCTTTCCTTTCAGAACTCTGCAGACAGTGGGGCCATCCCATGCTAGAACCTACACTGTGGCTGTTTATTTCAAGGGAGAAAGGATAGGCTGTGGGAAAGGACCGAGGTATGAGAAGAATATACTTTATTGAATGTACTTGTGTGCTCAGGGACGTCCCTACCTGGTATTTATAAATTTAGTCTCTCTTGCTAAGCTAGAATGTGGAGTGTTTGGGCTTAAGCAAAAGCAATCCCAAGGACTAGTGTCCCTTCTAAGCCAAGTGCAAAACTTGATAATCAGCCTCAGACAGGGAAATGCCATTATATAAGGGGCCTTGGCAACTTTGAGAAAACTACATCAGTTCATATACAAGTTAGTTCTGTCCAGTTTGCCTCAACAGAGTACAGGTATTGATGCAGACATGTAAGATGTGTCATGGTGTGCATTTTATTGACGCATTAAAAGTGTGGAACAAATATGTTAAAAGAGGCTTTGTGCAAATAAAACCCTTTCTCTTGTGTATATTCCTAACCATACAACTTAGTATATGACAGAAGTAATCAGATGAAATTTTATGTACTGGATATGAAAATCAGCATTCATAATTTGTAGCCATTGCTTGTGTTTTTGAAAAAGAAAATCTTTAAAGTGTTCCTCACCTTTATTTTATTTAATAGTATTCAACAGGCAGAAATGGGAGCAGCAATGGATGCACTTGAAAAATGTAAGTCTACCTTTTTCTATAATTATAGATTCATAGTGTAATAAGTATTCTGTGGAAAGAAAATAAAGCAGTAGAAATATGATTGAGTCTTGATAAAATGTGATCTTGTTTTGTTCATAATTATTCTCCACAGAGTACAGTAGAATATAGGATTTATAAAAATGGACTAAATATTAAAAAATATTCTCACATGTGTTGGATTTTCATTTCCCTTTTCTGCATAGAGTTCTACTCTCCACCTAGGTAGCATGTGTGAACAGCCTGCTGTGTTTTTGTCCATATATTTCTCCATACTTCTAAAATCATATAATTATATGGTGGTGTAGCACTTGGAAACTGGAAACGGGGATCAGAAGGCCACCTGCCGCTAAATAGTGAATTCAAGGCCAGCCTGGGCTACATGAGACCCTGCTTCAAAAACCAAACTAAAAAGCAAATTTTTAAAATGAAAGAAAATAATCTTATATAGACATGAATGTATACATGGGGAAGTTTTTTTTTTGTTGTTGTTTAGTTTTTAGCCATTGTCTTAATTAAGTTGGATAATTGCATACTTCTGCATACATTTACATACTAATTCCTCTTATATAATAAGATACCCTATTTATGTTCAGTATGTTATGGGCAGCCCTGAAAGTCATAGATCATAAAGAATGTTCCCATTCATTCTTCTTTTTTGATATTTTATTTTTTATTTTTATTTTATGTATATAAGTATATTGCCTGCATGTATGTAAGTGCACCCATGTTGTAAAATGCCTGCAGAGGTTAGAAGAGGGCATCAATTATGGATGGTTGTAACCATGTGGGTGCTGGGAACCAAACCCTCTACAAGAGCAGCCAGTGCTCTTAACCACTGAGCCATCTCTCCAGCCCTCATTCATTCTTTTGTGTGCATGCGTGTGTGTGTGTGTGTGTGTGTGTGTGTGTGTGTGTGTGTGTGTCTTGGGGGGGTTGGGATGAGCATATGACTGTAGGTGCCCTTGTATGTCAGAATCAGTGGATGCCCCTGGAGCTGGAGTTATAGGTGGTTGTGAGCCACCTGATGTGGCTAGGAACTGAGCTTGGGTCTTAACTACTGAGCCATCTCTCCAACCCCCAGTTCATTCTTTCTTAATGGTTACATACTATTTCTTGCTATGAGTATGCTATATTTTCTTTTTTTTTTTAAATTGTTGGCAAATACTCTTTCTCTGTGTGTTTAGTTATTGTCTATAATAAATGTCAATATTGTGTTTTTAGTTCTGTGGGATCGATTCTCAAGAGTAGAATGCCTATGCTGAAGAAACTTCAGTTGCATAATTGACTATTTAGGGAACTGCCTAGTCTTTTGTAAACTGAAGGCACATGAGTGCAAGGCATTTTTTTTCTCTGAGGTTTATTATGCGGCACAGAATAGCCTATGAACACATGACTGTGCAGTGCTATTATGCTTCAAGAACCAGATAAAGGGGTGGAAGAGAGCAAAGTTCAGAAAGCTCCAAGTGAAGTAGCCCAGGATTCTCAGCCATGAGAGAGATTCCCAGAAAGGCAAGAGGGCCTCTAGCCAAGTGGAAATCAGCAGACAGCGGGGAACAGGAGATCAGCAGGGACAGAAGCCAGGGGCTAGAAAACATTGAGTCTATGCTGAGAGTTTACATTGACTTTCTGGGGAAATTTTCCAGTGATCCTATGTATAAATGCATTATTATATATTGAAGTAGAGTGAGGTTCTATTTTTCAGTTTATAACATTGTTAACAGTTATCTTGTGGGGGGCATCATCCCCCCCCACCTGTTTGTATTCTGCTATAAAATAGTACTGGAAAAACTACCTATTCTAATATAGACCTCAAAAGTATAGATAGAAGTGAATTGTTCAAATGCAGAAAAGTCGGTTGGCAATGTGTGTCAGGTACTTAAAGAAGTTCTTGCCCTTGGGTCCAGATTATACTTTTAGGAATCCAACCTGAGGGAATAATTGGTGTTCTGAACTTGAGCTCACATACCTGATAATTGTGACAATGCAGTTCATAATAGCAAAAAATTAAATAAAATGAACCCCTGCATGCTTAACCATAAGGGAATGTTTAGTAAATTATATCTTGGGGGTTGGTGAACATTTTCTGTAAAGGACACAGACCATGGTCGATTGGTGTTACTCGATTCTGATGTTAGCCCACAGACATAGGTTATGTATAGATGACAGTGTATGTTCCATACAGCTTTATTTGCAAAAGATGATTGAGAGCCACATTTGACCTGATGGCCATAGTTTTTCAACTCTTGCTATATCCAAATGTAATATTTTTGTAGCTATTAAACAATGCTTTTGAAAATTGATATGGGAAAATGCTTATATACTAAAATAAATGAAAAAAACATCATAAAAACATGCCAGTCTAATTGTGGATAGTGGAAAGATTTTCACTATTCATATAGTGTACAGAAACACACATGTATATATACACAAAACATTTTTATTGTATACATACACATGTAGTAAAACTTTTTCTCTGAACAAAAGTGCCATGGACATATTCTGAAAGTTTGTTAGTGGTTAGATTTGAATAATAGGACTTTTTAAAATATATTTTATTTATTATATTTATTTTATGTGTATGAGTGTATTGCCTGCATGTAAGTGCACCAGTGTCATGCAATGCCATGGAGTTCAGAAGAGGGTGTTGGATTCCCCTGGAACTGGAGTTAAGGATGTTTCGTAGCCGCCGTGTGAGTGCTGGGATTCGAACCCAGGTCCTCTGCAAGAGAAGTTGGTGCTCTTAACCGCTGAACCATCTCTCCAGCCCTGAATAATAGGAATTTTTAATGTAAACTCAGTTAAGCAATAGAATCTACTCAAAAAATTGGACTTATTTAAGGCTAACTTTTTGGGATTTGTTTGATTTGTTTTTTAAAAAGTACTTTAATGGTATTTGATATCAGAATTTACACAATATGTAAGGAATCATTATTACTTACAGAGTAGGATTTTGTTCCCATTTTGTCCCCATTTTGTTTGATTTCATGTTTTTGTGGTTTAAAAATCACTGGCTCCCAGATAAACTAAGTCTTTACTGATTCACTGTCTTTCAAGTGCTTTTTCTGTCATCCTGTCCCGACACTGTACCAAAAAGGATACTAAAAGAATTGAGAAGCATGTTACATGCAGATAGATCCAAGCTTTAAACACACGTGCTTCCCTGAACATGCCACGTTCTCCCTTACCACCTATTCTTCATGTGTGAAATATAGAACAGTCCTCTTCTAAGAACAGTCCCTTAGCTGGCCTGGCAGGGCTGTGTCACATTTCCTTGGTATTACCAGAAAGCAGGTGTCCATTATGATCTTTGTCTAAGTATGTGTTTGTTGGCTAAGCACATAAAATGGCTATTTTCTCATCCTTTACCCAGTTTCTTGCTTCATTATTAGCGCTGTACTACACAAGACAAGAAAACTGTAAAATTTTCTAAATCTTAGCCTAGGTTTTCATTGTGTCAGTGCTGTTGTGCAGGGTCAAATATCAGACTAAATATAGTTAAACTGTGCCATTGAGTGACATGTTTCCTTTAATCAAATCAGATTCTCTCATGAGTTGCTTTTGCAGATACAGATTTGATCTTTTTTGTTTTGTTTTGGAGATTTTGCTTTTGTTTTTAGTTTTGAAACAGAGTCTCCCTGTATCCCTGTAGCCCCAGCTGGCCTCTATCTCACAGAGATCCACCTCTGGCCTCTGCTGACTTAAAGGCATGTGCCACCATGCCTGGCCCAGCTTTGACCTTTTTATGGTAAACTAACAATAGAATTAATTACCAGACATAATTATTTAGAATGTGACTTCCTTTTGTCCAATATGATTTTGCTCTTTTCAGAAATTTTAAACTGTTCAGAAACTAGAAACTATGGTAAATAAGGCTTATTTGTTTGAAGGTTTTAATTTGAGCTTTTCTAAACTATAAAATTCCACTGTACTTTGTCCTTTAGTGTCTCTCTGAAAATCACTGTTATTAGAGAAGACTGTTAAAGCACCTTCCTGGTTGGAGACATTCCATTTTAGCTAGCTGTGTGTTTTGGTGCCTTTACTCAGTTTTGCATCAGATATTAAAATATAGAATCAAAGTTGTCGATCCAGATTTCCAGTGTGTCTGTAACAGTAGAGTGAGGGAAGCAAATGCATCATTCTTCAGCTCTCGTCTTAGAAAGCAGAGTCATATACATATCCTGAGTGTGTTTGTATGTGTGCACATTTAGTTTTCATCATTCTTTGCACTACTGGCTATCCTTTATTAAGTATTAAATATATCTTCTTGTGTCAGATAACTTTCCCCAGATGGCCCATCAGAAGCGGTTCATTGAACGGAAATACAGACAAGAGTTAAAAGAAATGAGGTGGGAAAGAGAGCATCAGGAGAGAGAGCCAGATGAGGCTGAAGACATAAAGAAGTGAAGGAGGGCACGGAAGTGGTGGTGTATTTACTTGCCTAATAACTGTGACTATTGCCCGTCGAGACCTAGCCTAGTTTTCCTTCAGACAATGAATGAAGTGTGTCCATTGAAATAAAACAAAGTCAAACTGCTATTGTTGTTTTACTGATCTAATATTCTGCTTCTAGATAGGTGGTCTTTATTACAAAGTATTTGATTTTGCTTCTGTTTAATGGAAAAACTTCACTTTGGTGGATATGCATTATTCCCTTTTATTTTGTTCTTTAAACAATAAAATTCAAGAATTCATAGTGATATGGACTAGATCCTGTGTTTCTATTTCAGATTCTGACTTCAAACTTTCAGCTGACAAGTGACAAATTCACTTTACCAGATAATTTTTGATATTTGTTACTACTACCTGTAGTAACAACTGTATGTTTTGAAATCTCTAGATTATTGACTAATTTTTTTCATCTTTCATCTGGATGTTTCCTCAAATTTTCAGCTGCACATATTGAAGCTATCCCATTCCAAGCAGTAAGTCCTTTGTAAAATGAATCCATTCAGCATCTAACTGGTTAATACGACTAGAGGAAGACTCATTCATATCTGAGTCTCATGCATTCTTTGAATCTTCAGAATAGGTGTGAAATCATGATGCTAAGCCAGAGCACCCTTTAAACAGGTTGCTCTCACCCTGGGGTCAGCAGTACCTTTGAGAAATTTATAGAGAGACTTTAGGGATGTCTCACTGTCTCCTGAAACTGTATTTAATTTTGTGTGTTTGCGGGTGTGGTATGGGGATTTAGGTAGGAAGATGGAAGAGGAGGTTTCGTAGCTTTTCTTACCTTCTCTGCTGGTCCCTATAGCAATGGGACATAACGTTTTTTAAAAAACATTATTTTACATTGATCATCACTGATTTCTTATAAATAAAAGTGAAACTTGTTTGTAACACAAATGTGTTTTTGTTCATGATTTCAGTAGGCATCACATAGCAAATACCTATTATGTGTCAGGCAGTCTTCTAGGTTTGGGGCTTGTGCTAGTACAGGAGCACCCCCTATAACACGAAGAAGTCAGGGCAGGTGCAGTCTTCAGTGTCTCCCTGAAAGTGTCATCTGAGTTAAGATGAAGGCATAAGAAAGCCATGTGAGAAGTGTTTGTTTTCTATATAACGATGCATTATTGAATATTTGAAAAATGCATTTTGGCTATAGGAAGAATTTTTACTTTGAAAAACATTGTGGAAAAAGTAGACAGCACACGTATAAAAGTAAATCCCTCATGATTCCACTACCTGTAGAATTTTTATATCCTGCCAGACCTCTGTATGTACATATGCATATGCATCACTCAAGCATTTAAACATGGATGCCGAATATACAGTTTACTATTGTCTTTTATTATATTGGACACAAATATCTTTCACTGTTAAAGCCACACTTGCACAATGTAATTGTTAATGTCTCTATAGATGTACTGTCATTAACTAAGATACTGAAAGATGGGTAAGTTGTAAACAATTTGTTGTCACATATCCTTGCTTTAGGAGAGAGGCGAGAGTGGCTTCCCTGGGTTTGTTAATCACAACCCACCCGTGTGATGGGTTCTGTAAGAAACAAGCTGTTGTGGTGTCTCTACCTCACCAGTGAAGCCAGGAGGCAGGATGGCAGACCAGCACTGAGGAGAGAAAAGAGACCTCATTTTCCAGCATGTCTTCTGTGCTGTTGGTAGTCTTTCTGACCATTACATTTAAATTATATATACAGCAAATTGCAGGAATAGAAGGGGAGGGTGCTGCATTCACAGGTGACCTTGCTAAATGCTTGGAGAAATTTTGGAGTGAATGAATGAATGAATGAATGAATGAATTAATGTGTGTGTATGAGTGGGACATTTACATTCCATAGTGCACATATGTAGATCAGAGGACAAATTGACATCCCGTCACCATGTGTGTTCTGGGGATGGACTCAGGTCATCTGCTTTGGCAGAAGGCGTCTTTACCCATGGCTCAGCCATCTCTCTGGCCCTTGATTGGTTTTTTGTTCTGTTTTTTGAGACAAGGTCTCCCTGTAGCCCCAGGCGGCCTGGAACTTGCCGTGTAGACCAGGCTGCCACCTGCCTCTGCCTCTTGAGTGCTGGGATTAAAAGCATGTGCCACCATGCACAGCTTGATTTTTTTTTTTAAACAAGCTTTTTTATTAATCTTGAATGTGTCAACATAGTACTAAATCCAGCATACCAGTCAAGAATTTTTGTTGGAACTTGATTTTTCTACTTTGTGGTATTCTGGCCCTTTTCTGCTTCTTCCCAAATTAAAGACTCTTGAATCTTGGAGAAGTGAAGTCTATAAAATACCCATGTAACTCTTGTAGTGAAACCCTCCAGAGATCATCAGGGCAGACTGGCCCTGAGCACTCTATGACATAGTGATGAGGCCAACATAGAACAATCTGCGGAACTCCAGCCCTGCTCCTCTCCATCCCAACCCATCCTCCTGCTTCCAGTTCTTACCTTAGAAGAGCCAGCTGAAGGGTAAGTTCATGTATGAACTCAACTGAATGTAAATCCAATTGGTCACTGAGGCTGAATGGGAAAGTTTCTCTTGGCGTTACTTGGGGACTAGTTGGGAGGACAATTAAATGATTGCATGTAGGCTGGAGAGATGGCTTAGTGGTTAAGAGCACTGGCCAAGGTTCAGTTCCCAGTACCGTTCTGGCAGCTAACAACTGAAACTCCAGTTCCAGGGGATGTGATGTCTTCTTGCCTCCATGGGCACTGCACATATGGGTACATACATACATATATGTACATACATACAGATAAAACACACATAAAATAAAAATCTACATGATGGCATATATATATATACAGGTAAAGGAGCTTTTATGGGACTCTGGGAGGGGAAGGAAAGAGTGGAGCCTGGCTTGGGAAGACCGCTCAGGATTTCGTGCTGGGTCCACTGGTCTGAGATAATGAGCAGGAGCCTGCTGAACATCTTGACTTACAGAGTAACATATCTGTGCATCAGATCTGGAGTGTGGAGATTTATCTACTGTTGTAGTTAGCCTTAACTAATCCAGCTGCACTTAGCTATAATTAAATGTTTGCCTGTTTAACCAGATGGAAAGACCCTGTTCACTCACCTGTTGCCAAATGCAGTCCTGAACCAGTGCTTACTTGTTTCTTTCACTCGTATGTCTATTTATGGCTCAGAAATTCCCTATGTACAGATTAAAAGATATTAAAATTGACAACTATGAAACATTCTTACTTATGAATTAGGGGGTTTGAGAACATGGTACATTCACAGATTTATTAGAGTCTGGAGCATATACTATGCATATACTATGTCCTGGGTATAGAAGTTTGAAAGCAAAGTCATTGTCCTCAGGGAGTTCAATGTTTAGGAGAAGAAATGTGTCAGGTACCTCACAGGACCAGAAGAAAGCATGACTTGTTCCTTCTGCAAGATTGGGGTGCAGTCTGGTCTTAAGGAGTGGTCTAGTCCACTAGTCTTTGGGCTCTATCATACTGCCTGGACAAAAAGACTTTTTCTCAGGTCAAACATTTTGTTATTTAACCACAATAGTATTGTGACATCACAAAAATTACCAAAAGGTCCTTTAAAACTTCGTTTGTTCAAGTAATGATTCAAAAAGTCCATTAATTACATTTGGTTTTTATAGACTCTTAAGTGACTTTTGATGTAGAAAAGTTCTCCACTTCTCTTTTTCCTGATCAGCTGAAGAAACCTGGTCAATCCACAGTGTCACACATTTGAGTTGTAGTGCACAGCTTTCCTGTGGCAGCTGTTAACTTTTTCTCTATATCCTCTGGGTGGGGTCTAAAGTCTTGATTTTAGATTTAGTTCAAAATGTGTGACAAATGTGTATTTAGGACAACCTCTTTATTATTATTTCAACAATGCCATTTATTTTTGGTAATAGATGATTGGGATGGTTAATTTTGCATCAGTTTGGCAAAACTAAAGATGTTTTAAGCAGCTGTGTTTGTAGTAGTTTGTTATATAGCAATAGATAATGAATATATATCTATTTCCCTCTAAACTCTTGTTCCTATGGTGTTTAAAGTAACTCGTGAGTTCCCCTTAGCCTCTAGAATAAAGCTTAAGTTTCTTACAATGACATGAAATCCCACTGTGAGCAGGCCAGGCAGCAGTGTCTTACATTGGTTCTATCTTCCTACTGTCCAGTCTACAGCAGGTGTTTAAATACATTCTTTCTCTCCCCTCCACTGTCACAGGTAGGCCACCTCTTTGCTAATAATTTCTTAGCTTTTTTGCCTCAGCTCAGGTACTAGCTCCTACAAGCCTTTTCTTGGTACACTCTTGGGCTTGTTCCTTAGTCACTCTATTGTTTTTTTTTTGTTGTTGTTTGTTTGTTTTGTTTTGTTTTGTTTTGTTTTTTTTCTTGAGACAGGATCTCCCCATGTAGTTCTAACTGGTCTGGAACTCATTATGTAGACCAAACTGGTTTCAGCCTCACAGAAATGCACCTCCCTCTGCTGGGATTAAAGGCGTGAGCCACCACATCCAGCCATTGTTGCTGTCTCCTGACCTGCCCACCTTCCTTCACAGCTCCTGGTAGTAGGACCATCATTAATCCACCTTGGAGCCCCTGGCTTCTAGCCCAGCTCCTGACTGTGGACTCCATCACTGTTCAGTGAATAAACAACTGGGCTCCCTCTGTCATTCTTCCACGAGCCTCAGCTGCTTCTAGTGGGAGTACAGCTTCTGTTAAGCCTCCTGCAGGACCTCTGAGGCTGAAGTGGAGAGAGTCAGAAGCTGCTGGAGCATGCCACCCCACTGAATATTCTGTACTTGGGTTCAGGCAGGGGAGCCCAGTGGAATGGGGACGGTGAGAGGGCAGAGTGCCTTTTTTGTCTTCCTTGGCTTTTCTGCCTCTCCAAGGCAGTAGCTCTCATGACACTGACAAGTCAAATAACAGCTCAGGAGCACTATTTGAGATGATTACATCCTCAGAAACCAGTAAAAGAAGGCTTAGTTATTGGTGACACCATTAACTAGTGGCTTGGGTCAGGCATTTGTCACCCATGCCCATCATCTCCAGCCTCTCTAGTGTACTTACTATGGACAAGTGATCTTAATTTAATCTTGTGTAATCTTATAGCACATCTTGTTTTCATTTCCAACTAGATGGTCACTGAACTGCTCCTGTTTAGAAAAGGGAGCTGCTCTGATTTTCATTCTAAGCAAATCTCAGAGCCTCCGGTTTTCCTTCAAGGCCTCCCCAGCTGCGTTCTCATCACTGACTCACATCTGG